AATGATAATAGTGCACAACCCTCACCCAGGCCTGTTCAAGAAGGGGCTTTGTTTTTCCTGAGGAAGGTAGTAAGGTACATCATTTCCAAAGCATATGTATATTTAATTTAATTTACAGCATGCTTCAGAGTGAGCACTTTGAGTCTGGACATAATTCTACGACCACGAAGGGCAGACAAAAAATCAAGCTCCTCTGGCTACCTGTGATCTTAGGCCTTCTTCTGACCTATTGGGGGTTCATACCTGGAGGCACAGTGGGAGCCCCACTCTCGTGTTTACTCCACACGAGGAGAAAACTGAAATGTTCTTTCCCATGCACAGGACCATCCCCGAGGAAATCCCAATGGCTGTGCCGTCTTGGCCTCCTCCACCACCAGTGTTTGTGAACAAGGGTGGCAGGAGCCATGCCTACTGCCTGCATCACCATCTCCCCTAGATCGGAACAAAGCCTGACATCTAGAGAGGACTCAACTGAATGAAGGAAGAAACGAGCACATGCCTTCGATTCAAGCCGACAGAAATTCTCCTGGCACGATGAAGTTCATAGACTGTGGTCTGGCATATATACATATATATTTGGTGGTTGAAAGTGGTCTTGACAAGTCAGCTTAAGTCTGGTGATGTTTTCAAAAAATCAAACGCAGCGAACACAAAAGTAGTCCCCAAAATAACAGGTCAGTGTTTCATCTTCCAGGATTCTCCACCAATTCTAAAAACATCTTTATCTTGATCTTTTTCCCATTTATGTTTTAGAAATGATGATAACCCTAAATTGAATTGCAGTGTATTTCTTTAAAAACAATAGGCCAAAACAAAACAAAACAAAACATGCTTTGGTCCAGTGCACGTCAAAATACAGGAGCTGACAGAAATTTAGAAAAAATTACAATGTGACTCTCTACAAGAAAATGGAATCAATGACCTAAGCCAAAGGCAGGCGCTTAACCAACTGAGCAACCCAGGTGCCTCTGTACTGTACACTTTGTTAAATATTTTTAAAATCACCCTTGGTTAAAAAGATTATAAATCTTTATCTGATTCTTAACCTAATTATCTGATATATATCTGAGACAAATATTAATCATTTATTTTCCTAAAGATGATTTTCGTTACTTATATAACATGGAAACATCTGGACAAGAAACAAGTGTTGGCTTTTAAAATGCATATACATTTTAAAATACAGTAGATATACAAGTGCAATTTAGTATTGTAGGGAAAAACTAAAACAACAAACAAAAGTGTAATAGTTAAACTGCTTGAAAGCCCCAGATTTAAATTCCCTGTTTTTGAAATTACATTTGCCTCTTTTTTTTTTTTAACTAAACCACCACAAACTTCACCTCATATGAAATGCACTGCCAAGATTCGAAATAATAACTGTGTGCTGACATTTTGGCAGCAAAAAGGATGACCTCAAAAGGTCACATCAACCTAATCCTGACTGTTGACTGCCATAGCCAACCTATTAATTAATGCTCAGGACACAATGTGGATTTTTTTATGTCTTTATAACTAAATATCACACATCTAGCAAAGGAGGAGACTTTCTTTAGAACAAATAACCCTAATATTATCTTAGATTATTACAACCAGAACAAAGAAGCTATAAATCTACATTAGAGAACAAAAATACATTCTATATGATGGTATTTTCTTAAGTACAAGAGCGAACATGGGGAAGAGTTGACTTGATCCAAGTATGTCAATTTAAAACACACAGATGGGGGTGCCTGGGTGGCTCAGTCTGTTAAGTGTCTGACTTTGACTCAGGTCATGATCCCAGGATCCTGAGATCAAGTCCCTCATCTGGTTCCCTGCTCAGCGGGGAGCCTGCTTCTCCCTCTCCCTCTGCCCCTCTCATACCCTCGGTCATGCTTGCTTTCTCTCTCTCAAAATGAAAAAAAAAATCTTTAAAAAAAATAAGTAAAACACACAGACAGTAGCACCTTGGATGAGCATTAGGCAAACTGAGGTAAGCTGCCCTCTGGTATCTTGTACTATTATTGTTCAGACTATATGAAGATGGAGAAGTGAACTACTCTAGCTTTTTCTTCTCAGAGATGGTGGCTCACAGGTGGGTTGTACCTACTGTTCTTACATAGCCTCTGGGTCTCAGCAGGTAGGTGCCTGAATCTTTCACAAGACTCTCCAAATTGCCTTACGTTTCACAAGGAATCCAGTTGATTCTCTAAAGTTAAGCTTTAGGAGACAAGTATTTTCAGAATGAAGAATGCTGTCAAATATCTCCTTACCCAACATTAGGGAAGCTGGTTTTAGTGATGGTTGATGGTTGTACTGTACACTTTGTTTTGTTTTTGTTTTAAAGATTTTATTTATTTATTTGGCAGAGAGAGAGCACAAGCAGGGGGCATGGCAGGCAGGGAGCCTGACGTGGAACTCGATCCCAGGACCCCGGGATCATGACCTGAGCCGAAGGCAGACGCTTAACCAACTGAGCCACCCAGGTACCTCTGTACTGTACACTTTGTTACATATTTTTAAAATCACCCTTGGTGGGGTGCCTGGGTGGCTCAGTCGTTAAGCGTCTGCCTTTGGCTCAGGTCATGATCCCAGGGTCCTGGGATCGAGCCCCACATCGGGCTCCCTGCTCGGCGGGAAGTCTGCTTCTCCCTCTCCCATTCCCCCTGCTTGTGTTCCCTCTCTCGCTGTCTGTCAAATAAATAAATCTTTAAAAATAAAAAATAAATAAATAAAATAAAATCACCCTTGGTTAAAAAGATTATAAATCTTTATAGTAGGTATGATATAGTAGCTACTTAATGACTGGTAGCTATTTATATTGTTCACTGGAAAACCAATGAATTTGGAGTCTGAAAAAACAAAAACCTACTTCTATATGTCTGTTAAAATAAGGGTAGGTGCACAAAGTACGAAGCCAGGGCCCTCGGAGAGGTGATCATGGACAGTCAACATTCCAGCCCATATTTAACATGTGAGCTTGTCCATTTCACACTTCCTAGCTACTGCACAACGTCAAACAGCTGTGCTCAAAACCATGGGTGTTTTGGCATTAAGCCTTACACTGAGTAGTCTGGGCCTTGGAACCAATGTGGTTTAAAAGCACTGGTGAGGTGGAAGTCTGCTACTTTTCAAAATAGAAACTGGTAAGAACTTTTTGGAAGCGAAGCAATTTCTAAATAACATCTGGACCTCATCAATATCTTTCTAACTCCTTGGTATCATCCATATTCTTTGAAAAATCACATCTCTTTTTTAAATTGTAACAGTAGTAAAACAAAATCAACAGTATCTTTCCCTTCCTTGGTTATTAAATAATCTTAAAGCTAAGTTGGAGGACAGATCACAATCGGACACCAAATGAAAGGGCCCCCTCTGCACTGAAGTACAGAGATCACTAGTGGATCTGGGAGAAAAAGTGGACGCTGGAGCCTCAGCATTCCCCAATCCACAGTCCGTGTAAGCAGCACTTGCAAGAGGGACTTAAACTAGAAGAACACATTTCTTATTTTCCCTACAGGACTTGGTATCTTTATCTCTGTATCTTTAAATGGGAAACATGATCATTTTTTTTTTTTAAAGATTTTATTTATTTATTTATTAGAGAGTGAGCGGGAGAGAAACAGCATGAGAGGGGAGAGGGTCAGAGGGAGAAGCAGGCTCCCCACTGAGCCGGGAGCCCGATGTGGGACTCGATCCCAGGACCCTGGGATCATGACCTGAGCTGAAGGCAGTTGCTTAACCAACTGAGCCACCCAGGGGCCCGGAAAACATGATCATTTTGCTTGAGTTATTCTTAATCTGTATTTCCCATCACTATCTTGCCCTACTATTTATTTTTCTACTGTATTAATAAACTATAGATTTGACAGATGACCTACCCTCTTCCCAGTGAAATAACAACAACAAATAATAGCAAAATATAACTTATATTTCTCTAGTTACCTAATCTAGTCAATGTTATTTTGGGGGAGAGGGAGACTGGTTTTCATCTCTGTACAGATTCTATAAAGGCTGTAGGAAATGGTAACCTGATTGAGATTCTTGGGAAATATTTTAACTATATTTTGTCAACAAACTATCTTTCACTCTCTCTGAGTTATTTTTTTTTTAAGTAGGCTCCATGCCCAGTGTGGAGCCTAACGTGGGGCTTGAACTCACGACCCTGAGATCAAGACGTGAGCTGAGATCAAGAGTCCAATGCCCACCCAGGTGCCCCTCTCCATGAGTATTTTGAATCAAAGTTTCCTTAGTATTATCCTACATTTTCCTGAGTGTTACACTATCCAATTCAACATGGTGCACACAGAGCTCATCCCAGTTTGTGTGTGATGTGGTGTGGTCAACGGCTGTATGGAACAGGGTAAGAGCAGGTTTCCAAGCAGACAAAGGGTTCCCACCCTCTACATCCTCAAGGTCCCTCTTTTTGTAAGAGCCAATATCAGACATGATATTGAAGAAATGGTTATACAACACATAGGAACCTTTATAGATTCAAGGATTTTTAATATGGGATTTTAATCCCTTGTCAGGACTTAACCAACCTACAAAACTAGTATTATAAGAAATCAATATGTAGACACAAGCAACAAAGTTATGATCCTTCTGTTCAGCCCCTGCAGGTTGGTCCCTCACTGGAGGCACATCTCTATCCATCACAGGTAGAGCACAGCACTGACAAGCCTGGTTATTTGTGAGTTCCACAACTATCTACCATGAATCAGAGCATCTCAGAAGAGAATGGAGGCATCCTTTTTTGAGAACCAAGCCTGTGGCTACGTGACATTTCTCTCTAGTTCGTAAGATCAGGTCTCTGGATATCTTCCTCTTAAAAACATAAAAGAGAATGAAGTTTCACTGTCAAAGGCACAAGGACTATTTGAATCTGGGGAGCCATGGCAGACGAGGAGGTGATTTGGCCCAAGTGGAACATGGATGAGAAGGGAGAAATGAGACCATGAGATGAGCAGGGCTGTGGCAGGGGAAGCAGGGAAGGGTGAGAGGGGGGTGGCGCTCACCACTGCCCCCTCCACTGGCTCCTCAGTCTGGGTGTCCAGTCCAGAGTCCAGCCCAACGGCAGGTGCGGCAGCGACAGGGGGCTCCTCTGCTTTTGGCTCTGTGGGTGGAGCCTGTTCAGATTCAGCCTTTGATTGTTTGTTTTGAGCGTTAGAGGAAAAAGATTCAACACGTGAACAGATAACATCACAGAATACTGGGCAATTAAGACTTTCTTCATCATCCTACAGGCAACTAGCTTCGTTAAATCTGTGCTGGAAGAAAGCCCCACATTTGGCATCATGAGCCCTTCACTGAAAAGTCTAGAAATGGACTCTTATTAAGCCTCTCTTTCGCATCACCAAGCACTGTCGTTTCCCTTGAAGTTAGACAAAGACTTACCATTTTGGTTACTCATTGTACTTACTTGCAACTTGATGACATCTATAAGAGATCCTAAAGTGGCACTCTCTGCTACTTGGCAGAGAGAGAGGAGATCCTAGGAGCTCCCCACCTCTGCCAGTTGAAAGGAGGAAGAGCCCAGAGGTACGTGGTTTGGGGACCTCCCAGTTCTGTTGATATGCACTGCACCCAAAATTGAGGGGTCATCCCAATATTCAGATCAAAATGCGTTCATCTGCATGAGTAGGTCGTTACAAAGCCATTGTTGCCACTGCTCTGGCTGGGACGTGGCAAGTAGCCACCACAAGCACAGATACTTTCCTGTTCAGTTTCTTATTCCATTTCTCCCCTGCCCCCAACAAATTCTTAGCAATCCATTTCTTTTCCTAATTCTGTAAAGAACCACAGGGTCGTATTCTCTCTGGTACCAATTAGGCACTTCTAATTGTGTGGACAAGAGTGACGTCTTTCCATCCCACTGTGACCTTTACTCACAGACATCCTCCAAGTATATGCTGAATCAACCTCTGGACTCTCCTAGCTGCAGACTTTGTTCGTTTTAAAATTAGCGCTGTTAAGTCACAACAGGCCATTAAAACCACCACAGCCAACACAGTCATCACCACAGCTACTGAAAATGTTTCCTCTTTTTCAATTTTGACTAACGTAAGCACGTTTGTTTAGCAGCATTACTTCACTAAATGGATGGCCATGAGAAGGCACATTAAGGTTCTTTCCCATCAGGACATTCAAACTGTAAGAAAGTTGAGAAACGTTTTCCTAGAGGAGTAAGAAGTCTCCAGTAACTACTGTGATTGGAGAAATCAGTTCACTTCTGTCAGGCTCTCTTGGCAGAAGCAACGAAGAGCCCTCCTCCAGTTCTCTCTCATACCTGCTCACGGAGCTTGGTGCACATGGCAAGTTCCATAGAGAAGGGATGGGGAAGTTCGACTGAGATTACAGGAAATGAGTAACAAATAGCTTAGTGTTGGATAAATACACAAACTGTTTCTCTTGTGCCCCCCACCAAACCCTCCACTGTGATTCGTGCCTTGATCCCACACCGCCCTTCCCTTTACAAGAGCATAATAAAAAAAGAAAAGACACTCTGGTAGGTAAGTGTGCAGAGATGTGATATTTTTACGGGCTTTTATAACCTTTAAGGGGTGATCTGACACAATTTTTAAGAAAGAATGAGATAAAATTCGCTCTAATATATTTTCAGGAGTTTTTATGGGAAAAGATTTCACTTTTATTGTTCAATAAGAATTATCTTCGTAATGGAACATATTTTCGAGAGCAGCAAAGAGATACTGTAAGCTCTCAGGATATGACCTTACAGTTTGGAAGTCAGGTGATTTGCTATGAGAGGATGGTATCAAATGACCTACACAACAAGGATAGGAAGGGTAATTTGACAAAGCACCAAGAAACTCAATACAGAGGGCTGTCCCCCTGTGGGCTGAGTGTCTAAGGAGAAAGCCTAAAGCCAGATAAGGAGCCAAGAGAAGTTTCAAAATCGAAGTCAAATAAATACATCACTAGACATAAAAAAAAAAATAAAATGAAAAAATATCTGTATCAGAGCCTGGATTTCCTGGAAGTCCAGAGAAATTTTCAAGTTTTATGTAAGGCAACAATAAGTAAGTGATTTTGCATAGCAGCTGAATTGCATTTGCTTGCTGAAATCAGACAATGCAACAGAAGCATAATAGGATTGGTTATGTCCCCACAAGTCACCACATTTCCCCTATATTAGCATATCACACTAGATATTACCATATAGCTATGCAATTAAACAACTTAAATTCTAGGGGGACAAATATAACTCACTCAATGATGAGTAAGGATGAAACATGATAGCATGATTGCACATAAAATCAACTACTCCAAATTAGAAATAGAAGTCACCCTTCAATTCCTTCTAAGATAATGTAAAATTGTAAATACATTGTCAAGATAGAAAAAAAGCAAAGGTAAATCGTGAACCACATCTCATGGAAAAATCTAAGATAGTCCTGTCAGAATTATACCTCTGAAACAAATAATACAGGGTATGTTAAAAAAAAAAAAAAAAAAAGATAGCAGGAGGGGAAGAATGAAGGGGGGGAAATTGGAGGGTGAGATGAACCATGAGAGACAATGGACTCTGAAAAACAAACTGAGGGTTCTAGAGAGGAGGGGGGTGGGAGGATGGGTTAGCCTGGTGATGGGTATTAAAGAGGGCACGTTCTGCAGGGAGCAGTTTGTTATATGCAAACAATGAATCATGGAACACTACATCAAAAACTAATGATGTAATGTATGGTGATTAACATAACATAATAATAAAAAAAAATTAAAAAAAAAAAGAACTATGCCCTGCTTCTACCCACATTTTTTCTACAAGATGCCTCTCTGAAGAGACCTTGCAAATGGGTTGATGGCATGCCATCCTCATTTGGGAGCGCTGGTAATCATTCCTATTGTTTACTGGGGTGGTGATCATCACACAAAGGAAAAGTATACTCTAAATTTATTGGAGGCAGCGGGATGTCACAATGGTTTAACTCTGAGACACAAATGGAATTCCTCCTTTAGAACAAAATGAGAAGTGGAGCCTCACTGCACATTTTCCAGTATCCTCTGTCATAAGATGGAAAGCAGGTCATTGCCCATGAAGGACATAGGTTGGGAGTGGGCGTAAGAGTCTAGTCACATTCCAGGATGGCACTTGCCTTAGAGTCCTGCTTTTCCAAACTTGGGAGAGCTAATTTAGTGAGAACTGCAAGGGCCATCGAGATAACTGAGCCCTGAAAAAGGTTTGCAGAGTTTAAACTTATACTCAAGGGATGTCCTGTGGGGCCATAAAAATGCAGACTGAGGAGATGTGCAGTCAACTACCAACTTCAGCCTTCACCTTACTCAGTCAGTGAACCAAATGCTGGGAAACTGTCCTGCTCCTGGGATGATCCTATAGAATCACAACACAGGCGGAGACGTGGTTTCGCTATGATTTCCTAGTTCCTCGAATGGCTTAGCTAATATTAGCAGCATCTGCAGTGCTGGACATGACAAAGCCAAGTTCCACAATAGAAAGAAGGTGCAAAATGTCTGCTTCAGAGAACACATATCCACAGAAGGGAAGGGCAGCCAATGGAAGTTGCCACAAGAAGCTGTGGGCAGTAGGAAGATGGTTTAAGAAACTTAAAAACCACTGGATTCTATGCCTGGATTTTTGCATCAAAGAAATAGGTGTGAGTTTAATTATGATCCACTGCCTTTCTTTTTATACCAGTATTTCTCCATTTTTCTCTTGACCCATTCACAACTGATAATTAAAAATCTCATCCTCCAGTGTTGGTATAACCCTTACTCCACCACCCAGGCTGGAAATCACCAATGAAACATGACACATAAGTCTCTCTGGCTCCATTATCAACACCAACATAATTTGTACTTTAAATATTTAAATCTTTACTTGCAGGCCACATAGACTCCACTTCTCACCTGGTTGCCCAAAAGGCCAAAGTATGATAATCGATCAACAAGGTATTACAGACGTACTGGCCTTTGAGAAATTATCAAAGTAACCTTTAAGACAAACTTCCCAGAACAGAATTCCTTACTTAGAAGTGAAATCATCTAAAAAGAAAAATTTCTTCTACTGAAATCTAATTCTAAGCTTCCAATGTGAAAGCCAGGAGCTGGAATAATTATATCCCATTCCTAGGGGAAAGCCAATGACTACAAATAACGCTCGTGAACGCCCCATCCCGTGTAGCCTACGGCCACCAAGCTCACAAGTGACATCACTCAAGGCCTCTTCCTTCAACTTCCTTAGTAAGCTGCCGCAGCAAAGGTTTCCCACGATAACTGCAACAATGATCGTGTCAGAATCTCCTCTGACATTAAGAGTAATTCTGTCGGCTCCTACTCACTCCCTAGCTAAGCTTTGTCCTCATGTCCTTTGGCAGCAACAGGGGAATCACATCTCTATTACGGGTGACTTCTTTCTACAACTCACACGATGGAGGGAGGCTCTCGATAATCTAGAATGATCGACCCTAGAACATTCAGCAGTAACTAACAATGCCCCCAAAACACACACCAAAGTCAACTTACCAAGTTACAGATCATGCTCTGATCTGTCTGCATTGTGAATAATGAAGTGTCCTGGGGCTGAAAATTGGGGAGAAAACAGAAAATGAAAAATTATGAAGGTTCCAGCTTAATTTAATGCTAAAAAGAACAACAAAGATACCATTTCAATTAGCTTCTATCAATTGTATAAATACATTATAAAGTTTTTAAAAAGTCTCCTTTTATTTTAAATCAGAAAAGCAGATAATACAAAAGTAATTTTAACAGTAGATGTTCTAAACATAACTGTGGGCTAGCGTGATACCACACAATAGTACAGTAAGAGTCATTTTAAAAAAAGGGTCATTTTTGTTCTGCAGCTTCTCTTCTGGACATCTACACTGAATTGGAATTTAGTGGTTCTAAACTACAAATTCACACTTCTTAAATGTTAGAAATTCAATCTTACTCTATCACCTAGCTATGACTTCTATATGGGTTAATGATGAGCCATAACTTAAAAATGTTATACCATGTATTCAATGGCCTAAAAAAAAAAAATCAAGCTGGAATAAATCTAAGGGAACAGTGATCTCGAAGACAATATTCATCTCTCGTTATGCTAATAGCCAGGCTTATACCCACCAGAGAGAAGACCAGAAGAGTCTTTCCTGGTTAATCTGACCAGTTGAAGACAAAAAAAAAAAAAAGTACCCACAGAATTTGATATCAGGGCTCCCCAACAGAAAAGATGAGGCAATTACAGTTGGTTAAAAATGTTGTATTGAGGCAATTATCTCTGTTACCTCCAGAATCCAAACTAAACAATAAAGGGAATTTCATAAAGCAAATTTAAAAAGGCATAAATCCATGAGCATAAAAAGAATGAGAAGAAAGATCAGAGCAATAACATTTTTGAAACTGAAAAGCAGACGAAAGAAGAAGTAACTTGGTGGACCCCCCAAAAATCTGTATCCTAAGGTGATGTAAGAAATGCCAAAAACACAACCCAGTGTATTACTCAGAACTCCCAAAGGATCAAGAATTAGAAACATGGGGACCAAGGGAAATGGAAGCTGGGTGGTGCTAAAGACGGGCAATTGGCTGGCAGTCTTTGAAAAAGTAAATGGACCTCAAGATTCTTTCATGTATCCGAAAACCAAGCTATATCCCTTCATCACAGCACAAGACTTGACATTACTTCCACAGAGGCTGAAACAGAGGGCCTCTGGACTGGGGAACACAGAGGTATATTAGGAAAGTAGCAGGCTTAAGTGAGCATTTACATAATAAATACTGAGAGCCCGGGGCCCCTCCCCTCCAACCCCCAACTTCTTTGCCATCCACTTCCCATTGTACCCACGAGATAGGAGACCAGAAGAGCTAGAAATTTAACCAGCACAAGAAAAATGCCTATAGAATTTCACATCAGGGGCTCCTCAGTAGGAAAAATGAACCAGAAAATTCCAGAACAATACCTATAGTCAATGAGCTCTACCTACCTATACAAGTTTCCCATCAGCTTTTTTTTAAAAATTTTATTATGTTAGTCACCGTACATTAGTTTTTGATGTAGTGATTGACGATCCATTGTTTTCGTATAACACCCAGTGCTCCATGCAGTACGTGCCCTCCTTAATACCCATCACCGGGCTAACCAATCCCCCCTCACCCCTCCCCTCTAAAACCCTGTTTGTTTCTCAGGTCCATAGTCTCTCATGGTTCATCTCTCCCTCCAAATCCCCCTGCCCATTTTTCCCTTCCTTCTCCTAATGTCCTCCATGTTATTCCTTATGTTCCACAAATAAGTGAAACCATATGATAATTGACTTTCTCTGCTTCACTTATTTCACTTAGCATAATCTCCTCCAG